ATAGAATCTCGTACTAATTATAGAAGTTATTCTAATAATCATGTAGCTAAAGATTTTATTGATGCTATTGGAAGAGTTATTGAAGAAGTTATATGTTAAAAAATTTGAGAATCACCTGTTTGGAGTATTATGATCAATGAAAGTAATACAATTACTGCAAGCAAAAATCTTGTAATTATTTCTAAACATATTTCAAAAAATATACCAGTTTATCATATTTAGGTATGATTGAGCTTACAGAAGGAACAGCTAATGCTATTGTTAAAAAATTAAATATTTTTATATATGCGAAAAATTTACCAATTAATCATTTAATGAATATAGAAAGTAATAGAGCATCCATAATGTTAGGTAGTTATATTATATAGTTATCTATATAACTAATTCCTAAATTAAACTTGCAAAAAATTTTAAATAATTTTTGTAATTCTAATTTAAATATTTTAGTTTTGAATACTAAAAGTTTGAGTTAAAATTCTAAAATTTTAATTGACACTTTATGTATTGTAATATTATTATATAAAATAATAATTCAAGATTTTAATTCAAACCTGAATACTAAAATTATTATATCATATTTTTAAAATAATTTATATTTTTATATCTAATTTGTAAGGATGTAATAATGGTGTAGCTGCACAACTAAAACAACAAAATCCTTATCTTATTGAGATTCACTGTATTTCTCATCATTTAGCATTAGCGAGTGAAGATGCTGCAGCTAGTATTCCATATTTGAGTAATTATAATAATATTGTTAGAAATCTTTACAGTCATTTTAGCAAATCTTATATAAGAATAGTGTATTTAAAAATAGTAGAAAAGAATTTAGAAGAACCTGAACTTCATTTATTAAAAATTATAACTACAAGATAGCTTTTATTATCTAATGTTGTTTCTAATCTTCATTGTATAATTAATTCTGTTATTCAAGCTCTTTATGAAGATTATGAAATATCAAAAACTGCATATGTATTATATAATATAATAGATCAAAATTTTCTTTTTACAACATATTTTTTAGCTGATATTCTTAATAATCTTTAATGTTTAACATTTATTTTTCAATCAGATTATGTATCATTACATGAGATTAAAATTCAACTTAATACAGTTATTCAAAAAATTACATCAGATTTTTTAGGAGCAAATGGACAAGAACCTACATGGGAAAATCATTTATATTAATTTTTAGAAAAAGAAAATATTATATCAAATTATATTCCATCTCATATTCAGCAATTCGCTCGAGCAACAATTAAAAATCTCCAAATATATTTTCCTGATCATAAAATATTAAATTCATTTTATATTTTTGATTCATGTAACTTGCCAGGATCAACATCATTAAATGAATATGGAGATAAAGAAATTACAACAATTGTGAAATTTTATAGAATAAGTAAAAATATTAAAGGTAAATATTAATTAATTTAATAAATTTAAACTGTTAATAATATTAATTTATATTTATAGGAATTAGTTATTTGCCATTTATTGAAGCTGATAATTTAATACAA